CCTGCCCTTGGTGACCCTTGTCCCCTTTAAAAACCCTGCCCACCACCAGCCTTAGCCTCCAGCGGTGACTCACCTCCACAGTGTTCCCTGCACATCAATCCTGCATGATTCCCTTTGATCCCTCATTGATGTCCTCTGATCTCACAGTGATTCCTCCCCACCCTCCACCCCATCCCCTCCAGGGTTCCCCAGGACAGGATGGAGTCCCTGGTATCCGAGGAGAAAAAGGAGATGTTGGCTTCTTGGGTCCCCGGGGCCTTAAGGTAGGAAGAGGACTGGATTTTTGCCCTGATTAGGAGGGCCTGATGTTGGAGGGTGAGGTATCTGGAGTTGGAGGTCAGGTATCTGGGGTTAGATGTTGGGATATCTGTGGTTGAATGTGGGGTGTTACATCAGAGGTAGGAAGGCTGAGTTAGTATCAGTGGCCATTTTGGAGAGGATCAGGGTAATAGACTGAAGTATCTGGATGTCCCTTTTCCACTGTTTTTCCCCCTCAGGGTGAACGGGGCCTCAAAGGAGCCTGTGGCCTGGATGGAGAGAAGGGAGATAAGGTACAGAAGTGACAGGTGACAGGGATGTGGGCACTCTGGGGCCTGGGGTCTGGACTGACCCTTCCACCTGGTGCCCGCAGGGAGAAGTTGGCTCCCCAGGCCGCCCTGGGCTGGCAGGACGCAAAGGAGATATGGTGAGTGTGAGGCACCCCAGATGGGGAGAGGATGAGTGGGCCAGGGCCCAGCTCATGTCTTTTCTTTTCCAGGGGGAACCGGGTATGCCGGGTCAGTCAGGAGCCCCTGGGAAAGAGGGCCTGATCGGTCCCAAGGTATGGGGTCTCTGGGCAGTGACACTGGGGGTCAGGATGGGGCTGGGAAAGGCACAGAAGGGTCATGGGGAGTTTAGGTCAAGGAAGGTTGGGTCATTGGGGGTGAAGTGGAGTGGGTCTTGAGGTTTCAGGGTGGGCAGGGGTATGAGATGAGTGGTGGAGCAATAGGGAGCTGTGCGTGGGTGCTGAGGGGTTGCAGTGGGTGGGGAAGGTCTCTGTGTCAGCGTAAGGGAAATAGGTGCCACAGTGGGGTTGAGGCCATGGGGGTCGTAGCAGATTGAAGGTCCTGATGGGTAGGGTCACATGTGCTCAGGTCATGGTTCTGGGGCCAGGAGGATCATGGGGATGGAGCTGAGGGAAGCCAAGGCATGCTTCTTTTGTTGCCAGGGTGACCGAGGCTTCGATGGGCAACTCGGACCCAAGGGTGACCAGGGCGAGAAAGGGGAGCGGGTAAGTTGTGGTCAACGTGTGATCAGTTCAGGGGATTGTGCTGTCTGGAAGTCTTGGGGTGCTCTGATCACTGACTGGCCAACCTCTCCTCAGGGCCCACCGGGACCTGGCGGTTCCCCAGGTCCCAGGGGCAATGATGGCTCTAGCGGCCCCCCAGGGCCTCCTGGAAGTGTTGGTCCCAAAGGTCCTGAGGGACTTCAGGGCCAGAAGGTAAGGGGCCCTGACTCTGACTCCTGACCCCTGAACCGTCTTGACCCTCTGACCTTGCCCCTCCCCCAATGTCCCTGCCCCAACCTCTGAACCCCTGATCCTTATTTTGTTTTACTGCTGACCACTTCAGCCTCTGCTCCTCCTTGTGTGCTCATGTCTGACAGGGTGAACGAGGTCCCCCTGGAGAAAGTGTGGTGGGTGCTCCTGGGGCCCCTGGGGCCCCCGGAGAGAGAGGGGAGCAGGTGAGTGGGAACTCCTAGTCTTGAGGGGAGAGATTGGGGTGACCACTGATATCCATGAGGTCAGAGATCACAGTCTGATCCCACCTCTTGCGCATAGGGGCGGCCAGGACCTGTCGGCCCCCGCGGTGAGAAGGGAGAAGCCGCACTGACAGTGAGTGTGGGCTTGGGTGGGCTGCGGCCTGCCTCCTGCGCCAGACCCCAGCCCCTGGGTCTGGGCCCTGATGCATGCTGTCCCCCCACGGCCTCTCTGCCACGTGCCTGCGCCCCTCCTGTGACCCATGGGTTCTGATGGATTCTTGCCTTCTGTTCCCAGGAGCATGACATTCGGGGCTTTGTGCGGCAGGAGTTGAGTCAGCATTGCGGTAAGTGGGGTCTGGCCCAGAGGCTCGCCATTCCCATTTCACCCCAGCAACCCTAGACAGGGACAGTCAGGGTCCTCAGAACTTTGGGGGAACAGCAGCCAAGAAGATGGGCGGAGGTGGATAGCTACAGAGAGTGACATGCTGACAGGACGTCCCTGGGGGGAGACCCATGGGCAGATGTTGGCAGGGTCCTTGAGGTCCCTTGGAGCCAGAGGAGGCAGGGTGCTGTGGGCTCCCTCGGGACATCAGAGTGACCATCCGCCCTTCCTCCCACGTCTGCCTCATGCCCGCCTGTTTCCTGTGTCTCTTGCCCTGGCTTCCCCTTCTCTCTCCTGCTTCCCACTCTGTTTTTGCTTTCTCCTGTCATCTCTGCCACTCTCTATCTGCCCCCCGTGTGTCTCTCCTCCCTCTCCCTCCCTGTCATTGTCTCTCTCTCTGCCCCTCCAGCCTGCCAAGGCCAGTTTGTTGCATCTGGATCACGTGAGTAGTTTCTGGTATTTTCTGCTCCTGGAATTTCCTCACCCCAGGTCTGCTGTGCCCATTACCCGAGTCCTCTTGGCTAGGGTGGGGCCCCAATGACCCAGGGTCCTGTGCCCCACTCCTTGCCGCAGGACCCCTCCCCAGTTACGCTGCAGACACCGCCAGCTCCCCACTCCACCCTGTGCCAGTGCTCCGGGTCTCTCATGCAGAAGAAGAAGGTGAGGACACGGACCCGTGTGGGTGGGGCCCAGACTTGTGCAGGGGCGCTCTTGCCTGCCTGGCACACTCAGGGCCCTGCACAAGCACCGTGTGCACCGTGTGCACCGTGTGCACATGGCATGGAGACCAGTATGCCTGTCCACCCTGAGGCCAGGATTGGGCAGCATGAACCTGACCTGGCAGTACCCCGGTGACAGCGCACCCCGGTGACAGCACACCCCACCCCTCCACAGGCCGGGTGCCCCCCGAGGACGACGAGTACGAATACTCTGAGTACTCCGTGGAGGAATACCAGGACCCTGAGCCTCCTTGGCATGGTGACGGTGAGAACGGGACAGGGGGGTCGGGGTAAGATGGGGTAGAGGCAGAAAGAGCTGACCCTTGCTGACCTCTCATGACCCCTCTGTGATTCCCACACCCCTGCTGACCTCCTGACGCCATCAGCTTCAGACCCCTGCTTGCTTCCACTGGATGAGGGCTCCTGTACTGCGTACACCCTGCGCTGGTACCATCGGGCTGGGGCAGGTGGCAGGGCGGCCTGTCACCCCTTTGTCTACGGTGGCTGCGGAGGGAATGCCAACCGTTTTGGGACCCGTGAGGCCTGTGAGCGTCGCTGCCAGCCCCCGGTGGTCCAGAGCCAGGGAACAGGTATGGGCCTACCTCCCCCTGCAGTGGGTTCCTGGGCACTGAGCCCATCTAGATTAGGTCGTGGGTCAGAAGCCTCCTCAGACTGCAGGACCCAGGACAGACCTCCAGACCAAAGAACTGAACAGAGGGCTGTAGCTGCGGAGTCCCCAGTGTGGCCCCCTCCATGTTCCCTGTGGAGGCCAGAGTCCCACTCGCACTTGCTGTCAGCTCCTTCCCACGATGCTTGTGCCCAATATTTCTCGTGGCTGACATGCTGGGTGGGCCAGATGACTAAAGACACCTCCCAACCTGCCCTGCCAGGTGCTGCCCAGAGCTGAGGCGCCAATGAGGAGCTGAAGTTCTGTGTCCCCTGGAGGAACTGGTGTCTCAGCTGGACCCTGCTGTCCCTCCCCTTGGTGCTAGTGACCTGTGTGCACGTGAGCGTGCACGTGTGTGTCCGTTATTTCAGTGACTTGGTCCCGTGGGTCTCGCCTTCCCCCCTGTGGACAAACCCCCATTGTGGCTCCTGCCTCCCTGGCAGATGACTCAGTGCGGGTGGCTGTGGGCAGTGAGCGGATGTGACTGTTTCTGACCCGCCCTTTGACCCAGGCCTGTGATGACATGGTGCTGATTCTGGGGGGCATTAAAGCTGCTGTTTTAAAAGGGTTCTGTTGTGACTATTTGTGGACAAGCTGTGTGGAGGGGAGGAGGCAGGTTTTCTCTAGGAGCTAGCAGTATCTTACATGAGTCCTGGTCACTGTCCCTTGACCCTCAATCCACTACTTGACCCCAAAAGGGGGTAGATGGGGTGAGGTGTGTCCCCACTGCTCCCCAGGAGGTGATGAGTCATAGGTGGGGACTGTTTCATGCCATGAAGCATGTTCTGGCTCCAATCCCAGGGGGCTGAGGGAGATAAATGGGCCCTGAAGGGGGTAGAGGATGAGACCACAGCATACCACTGCCTGGCCCCAGCCCCAGGCAGCCCCAGCAGCCCGACTCACCCCCAGTGGAAGCTGCAGGCTGGTACTGGTAGGAATGGGGTCCTGATGGGCAGGGTCCTGGGGGTTGAGTGGGCTTGGGATTTGTCTGGACCTGAGGGGGTTACGGGGTCTCTGACTACTTCTCTACCTCAAGCACCACCATTTCTGTCCCTCCTTGTCCTGGATCTGCTGTTTCTCTTGCTTAGACCTCAGGATTCACTTTTTTCCCTCTCTGCATCCTTATCACCATCAGGCTTTTTTGTCTCTGGGGTGGTTTTGATCTTTTCCTGACTGCGTCAACTTTACCCTGCCTCATCACATTCATCTCTCTCTCTACTCCCTTTGTGCTTCCATAGCTTCCATAGCTATGTCTCTTTCCATTTCCCTGACCCCTTCTCTGCTCAGCTCTGCCTTGATTTTCTGTGTCGCACTCTGGCTCTCTTCTTGATGTTCTCCTCTCTGTCTCCGTCTCTCTGTGCCCCTGACCTTACCTCCCTAATCTCTACCCCTCAGTCCCTGTCTCTGCTTTTTCTGTCACTCTCTGTCCATGAGCTAGAACTCACCAGAGCCCCTCTCTGAGTCTGTTTTTTCCTCACAGCCTGACCACACAATGACCAGGTGGGCTCTGCTGATGATGGTCCTGGTCCTGGGCAGGGCCCTGCTTGTCCCAGCAACCCCTGTCCCAGCCTTCCAGCTCCTCCCTCAGAACTTTCCCCAGGCCACTCCCTATCCCGTGGCCTCGGACAGCCCCAGCACTGGCCCCCGCCCCGGCCCGCGCATCACACTCTCACTGGACGTCCCCATCGGCCTTCTGCAGATCTTACTGGAGCAGGCCAGGGCTAGGGCTGCCAGGGAACAGGCAGCCATCAATTCTCGTATCCTGGCCCATGTTGGCCGCCGCTGAGCCTGAAGGAGGTGATCACCATGATGGGGCCACTTGAACTGGTAGGCCTGGAGGGCAGCGGCAGAGCTGGATAGTACTATACCTGGGCATGCTCCCTCTGGACACACCATGTGGGATCACTGCCACACGGTGTCATATCCCAGCTGTGTCTCACAGAGTCACAGTGTCTGAACAACTGGACAATGCCACATTGGGTTGCTGCCAAGTGGAGTCCTGCCACACCTGGGAGCCCCGCAGACTGACCGTCTGGACACTTGGATTCTACTGTGGAAGGTCACTTGCTACCATGTGGAGTCTTGCCACACAATCACAGCGCATCCGGACACCGCCGCATGTGGTTGCCACACAGGCCACTTACAGGAACCTCAACTCAGGAACTCCACAGTGCACCTGAGACCAGTTCACCTAAGGTCAGACCAGCAGGCCTGCCCTGCCCCCAACAGGTCATCATGCAGGGAGGTGCTGGGGAGAGTCACGTGCACCCAGCACCCACCTCGGACGATGGAGCCACCAGGCTTGAATGTTCAGGCGTGGGATGTCTGTGGCTGTGGTTGTGGCAGCCTCAAGTTGGGGGTGTGTGAGCATGTGTGGCTGTGTCTCCGTGGATCTGACAGCTGTGTGAGAGCCGGGGGCAGGCATGTGGCCAGGCTGGGAGGAACAGGTGCTTGTCCCCCAAACTTGCATAAAGCAAGCATAGCACACAGTAGGGCAGGGATCTTACCCACACCCTTGGTCACACACGGCTCAGGGGACGGGGCTCAGGTTGCTGCCGCTCCAGTGCAGCCCCGCCTCTACTGAAGTGTCCTGGCAGGTGAGCTCACCTTTCCAAGCCTCGGTTTGATCATCTGTAAAACAAAGTAACACCACCAAATTTCTTTCGCGCACTGACAGGTGTATTTGAGGTTCTGGCACATGGGAAGTGCCCAATAAAGGCAGTGATTGGAGAATGAGCCATGAGAATCAGTCACGTGCACCCAGGCAGTGAGACCCAAGGGCACCTGTTTGCTCTGCCCTCCGCTCTACCTCCCCAACCCCCATTCCACTAACCTGGCTCCTTGGTGTGGAAGGTAAGTGTCACCGATTTCACACTCCCAGCTCTGCTGCTGGGCTAGAGTTGGGACTACCTCTGGCAGGCAGGCAGCGTGGCCAGGCTTGCTGCACGTGGGGCGGGCACTCTGGGCAGTGTAGACAACTCTGACAAGGGCCAGAGACAAGGGCCCACACGGGGCAGTGTGGGCATCTCAGGCGGGAGAGAAAGGCAGCACAGGCTGGAGTGGCGGCCTGGGGTGGGGGCCCTGGCGCTGATGTCTCAACTGGAAGCAGCCCTGGGGGGGGGCGGGCCTAAGGCGGGGCTGGAGAGGCAGGGCCCAAGGGCTGGCTGGGGCTTTCTCCAGAACCCGAGGGCGGGGTTGCCGGCTCCAAGCTGCGGGGGGGCAGCGGCCAAGGCCAGTTCGGTTGCAGGATGGACAGAGGCAAGGAAGGAGGCAGCTCCCTGACAGACCCCAGGTCAGGGAACAGAAGGCAGGGTAGGCATGGGCTGCTTGGCGCGGGTGGGGGACTGGGGAAAGACTTGGGCTTAAAGGGATTAGTGCTGGAAGGGGTGTGAGGGGTGTCTCCATGTCTGGGGGGTGACCTGAGGGGGCATCAGTCTGTCAGTGGGCTGAAGGAGGGGGATCACTGTTGCCTCACAGGGGAGAGGGGGCTGGGCCAAGTTAGGGGACTATAAATAGCTTCTTCCTCTAGCTGGGGGAGGGACAGCCAGCTGGAGCTGTCTGAGGCCCTCCCATCTGCCCTTTGCTGTCCTCCAAGGGGTCACATTTGTCCATTTCCTTCTCCAGGGGTCATGCCAGTTTGGAGAGCTCATTTGGGAAGTTTTCCTTAAGCCAGCATTTCTAGGATACTTACTGTGTGTATCGCTGGTCCTGAGCGACTCTAAGCACCTACTGTGTGCTCTGTCCTGGTCATGAGCCTCTCTGAGCCCTTACTGTGTACCTTGGATGGTCCCGTATACTGAGGGCCCCTTCTGTGTACCCTGAGTGAGACTGGGACCTGCAGGTACTGACCAGGTTCCCAGGCGGCTTGGTCAATGGCTCCCTACTCCTGGGTTGGAACCTCACACTCCCTGAGCTCTGGAACCTGGGAGACTCAGCTAGGAATGGCCAGAGGAAGCTGGAACTCCTGGGAACCCCCCCACACCTCCCAGTGGCAGCAGGGGGAAGAAGCAGGGAGGCAGCCGAGAGCCACAGGCCCCATTGCCCATCTGCACATGCCTGGGCACTGGGCCTCTGAGTGCGTGTACATAGGGCCATGTGCTTCTGTGCATCACACAGGGGTCTGTGTGGAATGCATGGAGGCTTCGGGGTGTTTATTCTGTGAAGGGTGGTTTGGCACTTTGGTCAGGACCAGCCAGCAGATACAGGGACTGGGAAGAGTCTGAACATTGAGACCTGAGGGTTGAAGACTCTGGCCACCCCGCATCTTGTAGCCTGAGACCCTGGGAGTACAGAGGTCTCAGTACAGAGGCACCACCAGCCCCAGGCAGGCTGACAGCAGGGAAAAGCTGAGCAGGATGTGTCCACACAGGCGTGCACTCAGAGGAGGGGAAAGCCATGGGTTAATCCATTGGGTATTACTGATGCTGAGGGCACAGAAAGCCAGAAGAACATCTCAGTAGAGGGAACAAGCAAGGTCACAGGCCTCAAGGCGGGAAGTTTGGCAATAGCACCAGGTGTGGGTGGTGAGGTTTCAAAGGGCAGAGAGGTGAACTGAGCCCCTTCTATGCTGTTGGTGGGGTCTGTGATGCTGGGTCCTTGTCTTCCTCAGTTTCTTTCAAAGGGATGGGGCCACAGGGGAAGCAATGGGGAGTTATCTTCAGAGCAGATGTAGACTTTGGCCTTGGGGAGGAGTCCAGGCTTCTCTGCTGTTGATTTGTGGCTCTTGGATATAGGGGATGAGGAGGGTGTGTCTGGGTCGGTCTAGGGTCAGCCTGGGAAGAGTGGGAGGCGTAAAACCACTCCTTTTCCTGGGAAGTCAGGCCCACACGTCTGGTCATTGTGGCTTCCCAGAGATGGGCCTGGCCAGCCGAACCGCCCTGCTGCCCCCTGCTCCCAGCATTTGCCTGGGAAGTGAGTAGGCAGGCCTGCGGAGGTGCTGGGTGTCGAAATGCTGAAGGAGGTCGTTTCTAGAGAGTGCTGGAGTAGATGGGGTGTAGGAGTGTGCCCACAGGTCTCTGAGGCTGGGACAGTCCCAGGACGGCTTTGGCAGTGACCAGGACACATAGAGGAGCAGATGATAGTCACAGGGGGCCCGTCAGGGGCCGCTTGTACGCAGAACTGCTAGGCATGAGGTGGAGAGGAGGGCGGTAGGCAATGCACAGAGAGCATGAAGGAGGAAGTGGTGAACTGTGTTCAGGACAGGGCCTACCGCAGGGTAGAAGCCAGGGCTGGTTTCAGGAAAGTCTGGTTGGGTGTCAGTATATGAACTTCCTGAACTTTCATTTCCTGTGGAGTGGGCAAGATATCTGTATCAGAATCATTGAAAAGTTCCTTGCCAACCTCTGCAGGGCTGTAGAGGACTGACCCATGGCAGGGGCAGGGGGAGAAGGGACAGAGGGCAAGAGTGCTATACCCATGGTGCAGCTGGTTGAGCCTTGTTTCCATGCCCCTGACTCCTGGCTCGGCACATACTGGGCAGTGAGAACTTGAGGATGCAATAATGATCCTGCCAGGGAATGTGATGGGCAAGGATAGAAGACAGTGTGACCCAGGTTCCAGCAGTGTGAGTAGGAGCAGAGCAGGAAGTGTATAAAACTTGGAAAGGCTTCTGAGGAAGCAGAGTGGAAGGACACTGAACTAGGTGTTCCTGAATTTCTGGATCTTTCTCTTGACCCTTACTATCGACACTGCAGAGATAAGTAATAAAATAATTTATATCATTAATGTGTGTTAGAATGAATTTTTCATTCTATACCAGATTCTTATCTATCCCAGATCCTTGTAAGATTGATGATGTGTGCATTCCATTTTCCTGATGAAGATATAAAAGCTCATTTAAAAAAAAAATATGTAAACTATAATTTAAAATTTAATTTGTAAAAATGAAATCTTGGAAGAAGAATTAAGTCCTACTGCCAGGACTCAGTGCGCCTCCCAGAGAGCACGGTTAAAAGGTCCTGCCCATGTGCTCTCTGTGGGCTGGGTTTGGCTGGAGCTCCCTGGCAGCCAAGGCAAAGAGAGAATGGTGATCAAATTTGTACTTTTTATGAAATAAAGCAGCTGTCCCAGCATGGTTGAGTCACGTGAGCAGGGGTAGTCCCAGGGCTCACCAGAGGTCAGGGCACGGACGGGACCGGACCTGAGGGTTGCTGTGGAGTTTACAGCTTGATAGCCCGGTCTACTGGCCTCTGATTAGCGTTACCAAGTCCAGTGGTGCATCCCTCCTTCTGCGGCCCCTGCGGGCTAACGTGGCAGGGGGCGGAACCCCGGGTTCCCCGGTGGTGCCCCCAGGTAAGGCCTTGCGAGAGGCCTATACAGGCGTGCGTTGGGGTCGGTGCACAGGGCTCGCTCGTGCATCCGGGGCGGAGCCGCCGGTGCAAGCCTCGCGCTGGTGGAGAACTGAGCATGCGCGTTCTCGATCTCGGGCGAAGCCTGGGGCCGGCTAGGTCCCCTACGGTTCGCCGGCCAGCTGGACATGCGCAATCGAAGGCCAGGCCCTCCTCCGTTGGGGTGGCGCCCGCTCGTTCTGGGGCGGAGCCTGCAGGGACCTGGGTTGGCGTCACCGCTGTTTGATGAGGGGCGGGGCTGAGGGGCGGGACCTCAAGTGGCCCGCGGTGGCCCCGCTACTGGGTTTCAAGTCGCGTCGTCCGACTCATCCTGCACCGGGATGGCGTCCCCACGGGAACTGACGCAGAACCCTTTGAAGAAAATCTGGATGCCGTATAGCAATGGGCGACCCGTTCTGCACGCCTGCCAGCGCGGTGGTGAGGCGGGGTCCGCGAGCAAGGGGGAGGGCGGTGCACTGGATAGGTAGAGCCGTCTGGACAGTGGTCCCACAGGGACAGCCTACCCGGAACAGGTGGGGACCCCGGAACTGGTGACGCCGCCAAGATTCTTGGGAGGGGAGCAGGAACAGGTGGGGGACGGGAACAGGTGTGGCAGAGCAGGGGGTGGGGACCGGTATGTGGTGGCGTCTCTGCTCACAGGGGCTAGGTCTGGCCGCCGCCGCCTCGGATAGGGCCCGCCCCCTTCTCATCTCGGTCCCCACCGCCTCAAACCCCGAGCGGACTCCGAACGTAGGGCTGTCCTCTCTGCGGACCAGAATGGGTGGGTAGACCGGTGGTCTGAGCTGTGTTGGGCCTAGGGAAATCGCTTGATGTCTCTGAGCCCAGAATTTTCTAAGGACCAAGAATGGGCTAGTCTACCGGTGGGGGCAGGGGGGAGGGGGTTTGGCCTTCATCACCCCTTTGGGCCTGAAATCTAGCTTTGGGAGATTTTTCAGGGGCCTGCAGTGAAAACACTGTGCCATATGGGCCCATCCTTGTACTCATGAGTGTATGAGCATGTGCGAGAGGTCACAGGTGACTGGCAAAATGAGAAGGTCAAACTGAAATTCATGGGATTGTTAAGGGGCTTATCTTTCCTGGAGTCCTGGGTATTTAATCTATTTCCTTGGCTTTTTGTTCTTGTTTGTCCTTAAATAAGTCTGCAACCTTTTCATTATCAGGAAAAACAAAGATTCGTTTTTTGGAGTAACTGAAGCATTGTAATGAATTTGCAGATTGGCGAGGATCTCAGAACATTTCATCCAACGGGGGGCATAGCAGTGGAAATGGAGATGGGGAGATTGTGTTATGCGCTAGGGTCTCTCTGCACTTCTGAGCTCTGCTTGGGTGTGATAAGGGAGGGGAGAGTCTCAGTGCTTGTGCTGCTTGGGGGGGGTTGGAGGTGGGTGGGAGGGGCTGGTGCTTGGCTTTGACTCACTGTGGGTCCTGGTAGGGAGTGGCTGTGCTCTGACCAGATGCAGAGGTCATGGTGGGTCATGGCTTTGACCATGATGGAGGCCTGATGGGGAGGCCAAGAATGTGATCACAGGAATGTGATAACACTTAACCTGGGGCCATGGCTTTCCAGTTAGTGCTCTGGGCTATGGTCACGCCCTAGCCAGCCCTCCTTCCAGACTTCTCTGGAGGTATGGAGGCCAAGGTTCCTTCCTCTTGTGCTTCTAGCCAATCTCCCTTAGGGCTGTGTGGTTCTAACTAGGGGTGGCTGCTGTTACTGCATAAAGGGAAAGGAGTGAGACCTACACTTTGGAGGCAGCAACATTCAGGTCACTTCCTGGATCAGCCATGTGACCTTAGGTAAAGAGCTGACTAGGGCTCAGGTTCCTCATCTGTGGAACAGAAACAGTTGTCATTCCTGCTGCATGAAGCTCTGTGAGCCTCTTAAGAGTGGTAAGTGCTCGATAAGTGGTAGCATGTGACTTTGGAATTTCATCACCACCATTCTTCTTTGTTTCATGATACCTCACAGTGGGGACCTGAAGTGTCAGCTCTGAGCCAACCCCCATTTCAGGGAGCTGAGGCCTAATGGGGAGAGGATTTGCCCACATCTCACAGTCCCTGGAGCACTGTGTTTCTCCAAGCTCTAAGTAATGCAATTAAAATGTGGCTCTGGCCTGAGGAGAGGGACTGGTGTCACAATCAGTGGGACTCTGAGTTGGCTCAGTACAGGAAGGCTTCCTGGAGAAGGTGGCACTCAAGGGACCAGAGATGAGACCCTTCAGACTGTGTAGGGGTTTGGGCCCCAGACTAGAGCCTGGTGTACTAAGCAGGGGATCAGCAAGCAGTGATTGGGGCAACCTCGAGGTCCCAGAACCTGGGTCTGGGCAACATTTTGCCCTCTGCTTGGTGGGCTGATGCTTAAGTTTGAGAACCTCAAAGACAGGTGAAGACTGGAGGCTGGAGGGGTCAGTAGAAGTTCGCTTGATCTCAGGTCTGGTCTGTGCTATGAGGGTTTGTCTCTGGGGTCTGCTCTCAGCTCCTCAGGGTGCCAGAGACTGGCTGAGGGAAGTCTACCCCCATCTCCAATCTCCATTAACAATTTTCATCCTTTTAGTAAAATTCAGAATCACACCAAAGGGCCTGAAAGCTGTTTCCTTCTTCATCACTGCCTCTTCAGCTCATATTTGAGGAGCTTTGGGGCAGGTAGGGCAGGGAATGAAGAGGTGACTCGGGAGCATGATAGAAATGACAGTGTTTGTGGTGACTTTTCTTTGCCAAAAGGTGGCAAAGGTCTTTGTAGGTAACCTGACTGGTGTATACAGGATGACAGGAGAGATGACTTTCTGTTCCTTCTGAATAGACAGTGATGCCAGACTGCTTCATTTTAAAGAGCTCTTCCTTCCCCGGCCTGGCCCCAGAAGGAGGGCACCATGCAGGAATCAGTTTTTCAGCTCACTCCAGGGGCTTGTGGCACTGCCAGAGAGTAGTCACTGTCCAGCAGTGTGGGCCCTTGTCTCAGGCATCTTGGTTTTTAGGGCTCCTGGAGCCTTGAGCAAATTTATAGGAAAAGGAACAAAAGAGAAGCTGAGTTGACATGTCTTAAGATTTCCTTCCATGCTATTGTGTCTTCTCAACAGTTGTGTTCTGCTGTCACGCGATCAGTGTCGGGGTCTCTGAGGACAGGAGCTGTAGTTCTAGCCACATGCCAGCTCACCTGGTGCACGCACCCTATCTTCGGGTGCCACGGCATGTTTCCTCTGCGTGGGCCTCAGCTTGCAATTTCTCCACTGCTGGAACTTTCCCAGTGTTCGCTGTTGTAAGCAGAACTGTTGCGAAGGCAGTTGGACTTTGACTTTTGTTTTGGGTTATTTCCTTGGAAGTTTATCTTAAGAAACAGCGGTAATGGGTAATTTATTGCTCTAGTTTTGCACCCAGCCCTGATCCGCTGCCCACCAAGGCGGCCCTTGGAGAGGAGGAGGGGTGCTGTCCCCAAGTACTGTGAGAGGAGGCAGCGGTGTCTCTAGGAAGGTTGCAGATGTGAAGAGGGGGTGCAAGACCTCAATCTTGAGTTGGTGGGAGGGCCTTTCCCGGAGCAGTGGGAAGGAGTCGCCTCCTCACAGCTGAGTGTAGGTTCCCACACAGTTAGTAGTGGATGCACTGCCCTTCTTGAGTGCCAGCCAGCCAGCCAGGAATTGTGCAAACAACACTGGCCCTTGGGATTCAGGGCCTTACCTAACTTGTTTTTCTCTTGCCTTCGCCAATGCTGAGGTTTTTCTGCAAGTTTCCTCCCTCTTGCTCACTGTGTTCCTGGGGATCCCCCGCTCCCTTGGGGCTCACACTTGCCCAAAGGCCATGCAGTGGAGCTATGGAAACCCCAGTGGCAAGGAGGGCCTTGCTGCAGGGCCTCCCTGGAGACAGAGAGGTGCCTCTGCACCCCTAGTTTCCCAGAGCATTGGAGAGGATATGCTGGCAGAGGGCACAGCGTCCTGGAAATACTATAGCTTTTACATGGGGAGTGCTGGGCCTCATGAGGGGCTATTCCATTTTACAGGCGAGGACCCTGAGGCTCAGAGCCGCCAGCATAAGTGTCAAGCTAGGAACCCTCACCCCAAGCAGGGTTGCCCCTGGGGTGTCTGTGCTCCAGCTCCTGCTGGGGAGACTACTTGAGGGGCAGGGCCGAGCATTCTAAGGAGGCCTACTAGGTGAAGGCACAGGGAAAACCATGTGGGCAAAGAAGGGGCTCCCACGTCTGTCCTGTTAGTCTGCTGGGATTTCACCTGGCCCAGGTCCTGAGGACGGTGAAAGGAAAGCTTCCCGAGGCTTCTGAAGTGACACCACACTGAAAGCTGAGCAGCCGTGGTGCTCTAGAAGGCCAGGGACTGAGGGCTATGCCAGACCCTTCTCCACCTCTATCCTTGACAACTTCTCAGGTTGGCACACTGGTGGCACACGGAGTGTTGGTGGGTCGGCTGCCGGAGGGAGCACACTAGAGAGCATCGGCCTGGGTCTTTTGCCCCAGCCCCTGGTGGCCCTCACCTTGGTGGGTTTCAAGATGCTTCCTTCTTCTCTCCTGCCTATAATTTTTTTTTGAACACCAACACTGCCAGAATGCCCAATGGCCCAGATACTAAAAGGCTGTGTTGTGTGGGGGGACAGCCTCCGTGAGCTGGCCAGAATCGCGGGAAAGAGTGCACATGTGGACCCCATGAGTGTACCATGCAGGCATGGAGGCGTCTTGGAGAAGAGACTCACTGGGGAAACAGCTTTTGAGCTGGAACAGTGGAGAGGGTAAACCGTGAGACTGCACACCGAGAATGCTGAATATTATTGGGGGAGGCATAGATTCCTGGATGGCAGGACATTGAACACAGCACTGGGACTGGGCTCCGTCCCCTATGTGATGGGACCTCCCCACTAGTACATCAGGGCAGGGGCTGGTGAGGTTCCTCACACCTGCCAGCGTCCAGACAGCAAGTGGAGTATGCCAGTGGCAGCTGACCGCTAGTGCCTGGGGGCACCCAGGGAGCTGTTGGGCGGGAGACGGGAAGGGAAGGCGCATCTGATGCCAGCCCTGTGCCCTGAGGCTGAGGGAAGGCCACCCTGGGCTCAACCCTGTCTGATGCCATGCTCTTGCCTTTCAGTTTGCATGACCAACTGCCCCACGCTCATTGTCATGGTGGGCCTGCCTGCCAGGGGCAAGACCTACATCTCTAAAAAGCTGACTCGCTACCTGAACTGGATTGGTGTGCCCACGAGGGGTGAGTCTTGGCCTCAGTTTTCCAAGAGGGCGTTGGGGAGTTGTGGGGATAGACGGAGAAGAGAGAAGACTGGACATTAGCAGGGTCTGGGGATCAATCGAGGTCAGGAGTCGGGGAGGTCAGGAGTTGCTGTTGTGTGAAAGCTGAGCCTTTCGTTTCCCCCAGAATTCAATGTTGGCCAGTATCGCCGGAACATGGTCAAGACCTACACATCTTTTGAGTTTTTCCTTCCAGACAACGAAGAAGGCCTGAAAATCAGGAAGTAAGGGTGTATGTGTGTGTGTGTGTGTGTGTTTACAGACAAGGCTAGAGCCAACTGGAGCTAGTGAGGGGGCCACTCCTGAACCCTGTCCTTGTTCTGCCCTGTGGGCTGTACCCTCTAGTCTCTTGATCTCTTGGGATGTGGAAGGATTTGGAGACAGAAGGATAGTAAGGCCTCTGGCCTCTTGTGGCAGGCCTTGCTCTGTCCTAGTGTTAATGAGCCCTTGATAGCATCAGCCTGAGGGAGGGGAGCATGGCACTTCCGGGAAATGAAGACAGCTTAGCCAGGGAGGTCGCAGTGTGACTGCAGAGAGGTCTCTGGAAGGGAGGGCTGGAGTTGTGGGTGTAGAAATACAGGCTCAGGGAGGGGGTACAGTGAGCATGTGACCACCCTGTGGCACCCACTCACAAAGCCCAGAACTAGGGGCCTTCCCCCTTTGCCTCTCCTGTATGTGGAGGATGCTTGGCATGTGTGGGGTGGGCCTTGGCTTTGCTTTGATGTGGCCTCAGTGGTCCGGGGTAGCTAGTTCACCCTCCTGCTATTTAACTCATGAGCTGAAAATTTGCATATGATCTCCCTTCCAGATTCAGACTTGAACTGGATGTTTCCTTCAGAGAAACTGGGCACCAGCTGGTGGTCTGAGGAGTGATGCTCTCCTCCTCTTGGTGCATGTCAGCTGGGGCATCAGGGAGCTTCCTTGTCAACTCAGGATGGCAGGGGCTTGCTTTGGGCCTTGCCATTGTGGGAAGGCTTTGAGCAGAGTTTGGTCCATCTCTAGTGACCGCCCCCCTGCCCCACCGAGTTCTACCCCAGAGCAGAAGACCAGACCAGACCAGAAGACCCCTGTAGGGGTCTAGACACTGCTCCCTGCTCCCTCTCTCATCTCACCAGAGAGCCGGAGACCCCCACTGTGGGGTTTGACTCCTCAGCAGGCCTTTGTTCTTGCTCTATGGGACTGGGCCAGGCTACCCTAAGAAGGAAAGGATTGTCTGACATTCAGGCCTCTGTGGGCAAATTGTGGGTGAAGCTTGAGGCTGAACTCTTTGGTGATATTGAGTCAGACAAAAGAGAGGGGGCTAGTATTGAACTTCTGTGTGCTAAATGCTGGACACCCATTGTTCCTCCCTTCCCATTTAACAGATGAGGAAACAGGCTTACGAGTCTCACACAAGTTACCTCACAGAGCCCTGACTTGAATCTAAATCCTTGTGCCTCTAGAAACGGTCCTGCGATCATCCCAGTAGTACCCAATTTGGAGACCAATGCCAGTTCCGCAACAGCCTCAAACTGTGGGAACTGATTAGCTTGTTTGACCTTCCCAGCAGTGGTAGTGGCACCTTATGCTCAGGTGCTGATACTGAAGTCAGAGAGTGTTGATGTTTCTGGGATCACTCAGACTGGCCTGTCTGAATGCAAAGAATTTATGGGCTAAGGTTGCTGGCATTCCCAGAGCCCATGTGCCACTCCACTCAGGCCACTCATGAAAGTTGGAGTGTTGGGTTTCATTCAAAGGGGAAACCCAGAGTCACGAAGGGCAGGGAGCTAGTCCAGGGTCACCCAGGTGGGACAGGGGTGCTGCCTAAGAAGCTGGGGGCAAGTTCACATGTGCCTCTCTGCGGCCACATCCAGAGACCCCCTTCCTGTATCCAAAGCCTGAATCTGTCCACTGAGACAGTGGGTAATTTCCCAGTGTTAACCAGCCCCAAGTGTCCCACACATAATTGGCAAAATAGAAGGACCAGACTTTTTAACATGGGAAGAGGAGACTGCACCTCCCAGAGATGCAGGGACTCACACATTGTTGAGGTCCCTCGAGCACCGCGACGTTGAGCTCAGTCCCTGACACGGCACATTGGAAGGTCCAGAGAAGGGCAGGCAGAGTTGCATGTATGTGCAGATTCAGGCTTTGGATACAGGAAGGGGGTCTCTGGATGTGGCCGCAGAGAGGCACATGTGAACTTGCCCCCAGCTTCTTAGGCAGCACCCCTGTCCCACCTGGGTGACCTTGGACTAGCTCCCTGACCTTGCATGCATGTGCACATGGGCACCGCCAGGCACATTCGTGCACACAAGCTCCATATGCACCCTGTGGGCGCCCACACACGGAACCCCTCGGACTAGCTCCAACACATGCAGGCATGCAGCTCCACACGGGGGCGAGTACACACCCTTGCATACCTCATGTGCACACAGGGCAGACCTGTGCTCACTCTGGCACATTCAAACTAGTTCCCATGACCACCCCCATGGTCAGCAACTTTCTAGGATGAGCCCCAGAGCTCAGCAGTGGTCATAATGCTAAGGCTTATTCCAGTAAATTGCCACACAGCAGGGTCAACGGGGAGAGATGTACATGGAGTCCAGCCCAGGGAGCAAACCCCCAGGACAGGAGTGCTCCCCCAGAGTCCCCACGGACACACTGAATGCCTCCAGTACCAGGTCGTGACCACACATGTGACGTGTCTACCAGTGAAGCTCAGTGTGTAGTGCTCAGGGCTGCAACCAGGGGCACCTGTGCTGTGCACGTTCCAAACTCCTGAATCCCCAATCCCAGAATCCTTGGAGGCTGGTGGGTGTGACAGAAACCTTGAAACTCTTGGTCTTTCTGGTGACCAGCCTCATCGTGTGGAGATGTAGAGCCCTACCCTGAGTTACTTCTGGCATGCACGGTGTGATGGAAAGGGGATGCTCATGACTAACAACAGACTCCTGTCACTCAGAAAATTCTAAGGGCTTGGGAGCTCTGTGCCAGGAACCCACATGGAGACATTACGGTGCACATGTAGCTGCACTTACACGGGGGTGCCCAGGGGGTCTCGCACATGCACACTGAGATTCACACACATGAGGCTCAGCACACTCAACACATGGCCACCCTGCACGTGCGTGTGCGGCCTTGTTCATTCTCACACCTACACTCACACGCAGAATCCAAAGATCGAGCAAGTGGGAGAAAATCTTACTTTACTCTTACTACCAAAAAGTGAAGGTAATACATGTCAAGTGATTCATCTATCGCTGGGTCTTATGGGAGAAAAGGACAAAGCTAGGGCCGTCCTTACAGGTGCCAATCCATTTTACAGCAATAAACAGAAGTGCTGAGACATCGTATGGCAGCAGTTAGACCTGGTGAGGCCTCACCTGGGGGCCTGTGGCCATGGGCGTGAGTGGCAGAGCCAGGACACACTCCTCCTGCAGTGACGGCCATGCTCTGTCTCCCAGGAGAGGGAAGTGAAGATGAGTGTGATGAAGCCTGGGGCCGGCAGCAGTGCCTCCCCTGCCCCACGCCAGTCTTCCACACTGAGGACAGGGCTGTCCTCAAAGAACGTCCATACTCAGGGAACCTGTACAACAGAGGTCATGGATAAGGCAAAATGGCGCGATGAGATGAGAAGGGACGTTCAGAAAAGCGGTATTTCCAAAAACAATGACCTGGTGCTTCCAGCCTCCCACCTAGAGAAGCAGAGTTAGCGAAAACACTGAAAATCACCCCAAGAAAAGAGAAGAGAATCCTTGAGAAGAGAGAAGGGCCCGGGGACCGCCCTCTCCTGTCTAAGACGCCCCGGACCCTTCCCTCCAGGGGTCTGTGCTGGGCTGACCCGTCCTCTCTCCTCAAGGCAGTGTGCCCTGGCAGCCCTGCGCGACGTCCGGCGGTTCCTCAGCGAGGAGGGGGGACATGTGGCGGTGAGTGGCCGCCCTGGGAACACACACTGGGCGGTGGGCCAGTGTGTGTTGCTGCGGGGCCCCTGGGTGCCTGCTTGGGGTGTGGGCCAGGCGCTTCCTCCTGGGTTGTGATTGTGCTGACCCTAAAAGACTTCCCTGTGAATCCATTTCTGGCCCCCTTCAAGTGGAGATATCATGTTAGCTCTCATTCCTTAATCACATGAGCTGTGGGCAAGGGACTTACTTGCACCAGGCCGGCGGGTCAGGTGGGAGTGGGACAGAGCTGAGTGCACTGTTGACCACTCCTGCTCTTTCCCCTGCATCGCTGACTCAGAGATGTCTGTGCCCAGATCCCGGCCCCTTCTAGTGGGTGCCTTCTGGTTGGCAAAAGCTTATAGCTGGTTTCCTCCTTTTCTCTGATTTACCACGTGTCTGTCTTAACAGTATTTTGTTGCTATCTCCCATCTCTTCTTCATCTCTGCTGTTCTCTTTATCCTCTGTCCCCATTTCACTGGGGTCTCAGGATGGAGTGGAAGTAAATCTGAGTTCCAATCTCCACGTTGAACTGGTTTCACTGGAAGTTCTTCAAGTCAGACATAAACTACCAGGAGCATCCATTCCTTCTGGTTGCTTGGTGCATCCTTCCCAAGGAAGGGGGCCTGCAGCTAAGCCCCTATCTCAAGAAGAGTGAGGCAGGTGGCCCAGGGCAGTACCAGTCCTGGGGAGAAGCCCGGTCCCTGCTCTGTAGCTGCTGGGTGACCTACCTTCTCTTGGGCCACTGGCCAAGTTAACCCCATTTGGTCCTAGGTTTTTGATGCAACAAATACTACCCGAGAACGGAGAGCAACCATCTTTAATTTTGGGGAACAGAACGGCTATAAGGTGAGGCCTCCTTGGCTCACCTCCTTGGTTGAGCTGTGACGTGTTTGGGTGCTCCAGGGGCCCCTTTCTCCTCCTGACATGTTTGGGTGCAAGACATAGGGCAGGCCTGATCAGACTGGGGGTGAAGGGGCCTGTTCTGAGGTTTCCTTCTGGAGGAGATGGGGTTCTTGGTGGGAGTCTCCTGGACAGAGAACAGCACCTGCTAGTGTTCTGTGCTTCTTGGACTTGCCCCAGAAAAAGTGCTCTGGGGAGCCAGGCCCCGGGCCCTAAATATGTCTATGGTTCCTTCCCTCCTGCCTGCCCTGGTCTTTGCTGCAGACTTTTTTTGTTGAGTCCATCTGTGTGGATCCTGAGGTCATAGCTGCCAACATTGTGGTGAGTGCTCCGCCTGAGCTCGTGGGGGTGGCGATACAACTGAGGTGGCATGTGGCAGTGAGGGCCATCTCCAGGTCTCCAGGTTTGGGCTGCTGCTGGGCTGGCCTAAGTCGGTTGTCTTGAATCTTAAGGGGGAGGGGGGTGTGCGCAGTGGAATGCTGGGACCCCTGAGGACCACCGAGTGGAGGCTTGTGTGACTTTGACATCCCTTCTTAACCTCTCTTATCTTTCCCCTCATGATCCCTAGAACAACCGGAGAGGAGTTTCACTGCCCAGGGGTGGGGGTTTTGCGGATGCTGTTTATATTTTGAAAGAGAGACTCATCCCCTTCAGGAGGGAGTAGCTCTTGCCCCTCTGGCCTTACCTCCCCCTGTGCCATGAGGATGAGTCCAGCTGTTCTCTCTTAGCTTAGCGAGGAATCCTGGATGGTGGGACTGGCCCCCTGGGTTTGGTCTTCAGTTTCTTCCCCCAGGCATGGCTTGGCCTCCTGCTCCCCAACCCCATCGGCATTCTCCTTGGTCACCAGCCCTTCCCTGACATGTCCTTGCTCTGGCAGCAAGTGAAACTGGGCAGCCCCGACTATGTCAACCGGGATAGCGATGAGGCCACAGAGGATTTCATGAGGCGCATCGAGTGCTATGAGAACTCCTATGAGTCGCTGGATGAGGACCTGGACAGGTGAGCGAGCAGCACGTGTGTCCTCCGGGGGCTGTGGTGATAGTTGAGAGACCACCCCGATGGGCAGAGGTGGTCTTCCAGCGTGGTAGAAATCATGGGCCAGAATGACATGCACCGGCCTGACCTGGAGCTCTGTAAGTCAGAATATTCTACTGCTTCATCATAAATCAGGCCTAACTTTAGCAGAGGATCTTCCCACCTTACCTGTTCTTTGTTTTTTATTCAAGTAAAATTGACATGTGACATCATGGTCATTTCGGATGCATAATGTGATGATTTGTATTCAGTGTGAAATGGTCATCAGTTCTGTTTTGTGAAGGGAGAGAGAGGTACCCAGATCCTATGTGAACCACAGCAGTGGTCAGCGCTTGTCAGCTCCCTGCTGCCCTGCGGGTCAGAAGCCGCAGCAGAGTAAGGGCGGGGAGGGGTCTCAGTGTAGATAAGGGGCATTTAGTTGAGGGTCTCACAGCAACAGTCAGCAAGCTTTATCTGGAAAGGATCAGATAGTAACTATTTTTGGTTTGGGGCCGGTAGGCAGCTTTGCCACTAGTGCAAAAGAAACAATATGTAAATAAATGGGCATGACTGTGCTAAAAATGAAACCACTTGCAAAAGCAGAAGAGGGGTGCAATAGGTGAGAAGGCTGTACTTGTGTTTGGGTCAGTTATTATTGCACAAAAATACATAGCGTGTATGAACCTATGACAACAAGCAGCTGTTGGAGGGGTGTTTTCTGGGGTGTGTGCAGAACAGTGCCTGGCCCGGCTGGGAGCTAACTGCCAGTTAGCTGCCTGGGGGCTTCCTTGTCATTTTGGGCTTCCAGGTTCCCCAGGACTGCGTTTTTCCTCATGGTTCTGTGATATGACAGCATCAGAGGGAGTATTTTTGAATAGCTCCCCTTGGATTTACCTGTAAATGTTACCCCTGTTTTAGTGTGGTGTCAATCTAACAAACCAAAACCGAAACCAGAAGTTTAGATGCAAACAGTGAGAACCCCCAGTGAGCACATCTTGGGGCTCAGGGCTGAACCCTTGTGTGAGGCCTGAGAACCCTGTCTTCCCTGCCTGCTGGCCTCCCTCCCCAAAATGTAAGTAAATAAGTGAGTCCTCTGAACTGAGCCCTGGGCTTTGGGCGTCACCTTCAGGTGGAGCACCTCTTCCGGGGTGTGTGCTCTTGTCACCCCCACCACCGGCCCCCATCTTGAACACCAGCTGACGTCCTATGTGTTGTGATGTCTAGCCTGGTGGTTGGAGATGTGAAAGACATGCCCTGCAGACTCTGCTCACACTCACAAGCCTCTCCCTCCCTTCTCTTTGGAAAGGGATCTGTCCTACATCAAGATCATGGACGTGGGGCAGAGCTACGTGGTGAACCGTGTGGCTGACCACATCCAGAGCCGCATCGTATATTACCTCATGAACATCCATGTGACCCCTCGCTCCATCTACCTCTGCCGTCATGGGGAGAGCGAGCTCAACCTCAAGGGTCGGATTGGTGGAGACCCAGGACTGTCCCCCCGGGGTAGGGAGGTCAGTGTGCGCACGTGTGTATCTGTGCATTGATGCCCCTGGGTGACCGGGTACGTGTCCGTGTGTGAACCTGAGCCTGGGCTCCAGCTCTCATAGCTAACGTGCTGCCAGGTGGATGACCTTCATTTAGTCTTGACTGTCCCCATCACGTTGGGAAGGTCACCGAGTTCCGGCCTAATACCTGGGATCTCTGTTCAGCAGCCATCCTGGGAGTCACCTGAGTCCGTATAGGGCAGTTGATGTCTGAGCCACAGTCGGGGGCTGCTGAGGCCTCTGGCAAGACAGTCTAGGGCCCAGGTGGAGGCTGAGGATGGCAGCAGAGCCCAATGAGTCACTACTGGGCAGCGCTCAGGGGCTGGTGAGGACGCATGAGTATAGCACTTGTGGGTGTGGGAGGGTGGTTCTTTTCTTATCAGGTGTGTGTTCTCCGAGGCTGAGCCTGTCCCCACAGGTAACTGTGGGGTCTCTGAGGACAGCCAGTACCCGCGGATGTGAATTTGTTTGCCGTGTATTTCAGTTTGCCAAGAGTCTGGCCAAGTTCATCAGTGATCAGAACATCAAGGACCTGAAAGTCTGGACGAGCCAGATGAAGAGGACGATCCAGACAGCCGAGGCCCTGGGTGTGCCTTATGAGCAGTGGAAGGTCCTCAATGAGATCGATGCGGTAAGCACTGTTCTCTTCCCCCATGTCTGCCCCAAGTTTCCTGGGCACAGCTGTCTCACCTAACTTGTTGAGGGGGCAGGAAGACCTTGCTCCTTAACTTTTCTTCATGTTTTAGGGTTCTGATTTCTCCCTCCCTCCCTTTCTTCCCTTCTATTGCACTTATCTAGACCAAACATAATTTATTCTGCTGTTCTGATGGAGACCTTAAACCTGGCTTTTCCCCATTTAACTCATTTACCTATCGCCATCTATCCCTCCTTTTCCTGTTGGTGTGTTTTGCCTACTTTTGTATTAAGTGCTTACAAATAATTTCTGTCTGTTCATGTGCCAGTACCCTACTGTTTTAACAGTTCTTTATTATGTTTATTGGCTATCTTTTGTGAGGTTTTTTTTTTTTTTTTTTTCTTGCTTTTCCCTTCTTAAGCCCGCCCCTGTTGGGTTGCCTGACATTTCCTTCCTGATTTTTAGGACATCTTTAGGTATTCTGGATAAATATCCATGCATGGCCATTTTTAATTTGTATGAACAACTATGGAGATAAATCAAATCTTGGCAATGCTGCCTTTCTCCGAGGGCTTACTTTTGCTTCTGGCAGGCTGTCAGGATGGATTACGCATCTCATCAGGATAGAGCAACTTCAGAGCTGCATTCTGATCTTTATGGAGGCTGCTTGATTTTCAGGTTCTACTCCTTTTAGGGGACAGCCTTTACGGCTGCAATGGAAATCCCTGTAGCCCCCGAGTGTCTGTTATTTATCTCTCTACCCAGCACAGCTAGCAATTCTGCCAAGCCTCTGCCCACTCAGTCATCACATCCTGCTTCCTGACTTCTTCTTCTCCCTACCACCATGTTTCTTAGACATAATTGACAGGGCCTCCCTTGTGGTACAGCAGTTGAAATTTCCCAGTCACCAGCCAGTGCAGTATGCTTCAATCCCTGGCCACAGAGCTGACCTACAGCTGACCCGCCTCTCCTGACCCGCCCGCTGCTCCCCTCAGCAGTGTGCTTCGTCAGTTGGCCTGTTCTGCTCCCCACTCTCTCTAGTGAATCTTCTTTCCCCACCCCCTGCACTCCACGTCTTGTATGCATAAATAGGTAAAAATAAAAATATTTTTAAAAAGAGATAACTGATAGACAACATTCTATTAGTTTTAGGTGTATGACATAATGATTTATGTATATATTGCAAAATAGCGATTGAGTTAACACCAACAGCTTTCATAGTTACATAATTGTTTTCTTGTGATGAAAACTTTTAAGATTTACTCTCTTAGAAATTTTTTTAAAATTACAAGAACTGGCCCTCCCTGGTGGCGCAGCGGGTTAAAGCACAGCACTGAGAATCTAAAGCCGCTTCTGCATGAGTTCGATTCCCGCCTGCCCCGGAGGTGACCACATGGTGTGGCAGACCTCTCCTGACCCGCCCGCTGCTCCCCTCAGCAGTGTACTTCGTCGATCTGCCTGTTCTGTTCTCCACTCTGTCTCTGATGAAGCCTCTCACCGCCCCTGAGCTTCTGGCCTGTACCTCAGTTCTGTATGCACAAATAAATAAATCTTTAAAAAAAAAATTACAAGAACTGGGGTACAGGCCAGAGGTGCAGGCAGAGGGCAGTCAGAAGAGGTCTGCTGTGCCATGTGGCTCACCTCCCTGGCCAGGGATCGAGCTTGTGCAGAAGTGGCTGCCCACAGCTCCGCAGTGCCTTGCCTTACCCCATTTCACCACAAGGGAGTGCCCTACTCTGAAAAGTTTTTAAGGGAACAGAGCATTAGTCATGTGAGATGATAAAGAACAATTTAATTCATGTGCTCTTCGAGCCCTAGAAAGCTAGGTGGAGAAGACAAATAAAATATTTGCAGGAATAATGGGTAAAAGAGAGTTGACTAATTACAAATTGGTCACAGTCACAAATCACAATCATGACTATGGTAAGGGTTATACAACTTTAGACATATGTTAAAACTGATTAAATAGTACTTAAAAGTGGTATGCTTCATTATTCGTACATTTTACTCCCATAAAAATTATGATTTTCTTTGCCATAGATTTTAACCATTCAGCTAGAAACACTTTTATCGGAATTCCTATATACTCACCGTGTCATTTTCTACTCTATAAATTATGACAAACTTGGTGGCTTTAACAACATCCTTTTATTATCTCACCATTTCTGTGGGCCACGAATCTAGCAAGTTTCGCCTGAGTTTTTGTTCAGGCTCTTATCGAACTCCAGTCAAGCCAATGACCAGACTTTTGGCATATGTTCTGCTATCTGACTTACTCCACCCAGCATAGGTCCATCCAGTTGTTGCAAATAGCTAGATTTTGTTCTTTTTTATTTTAACCACCATTTTGAAGTGCACAGCTCAGTGGCATTAAACACATTAATAACGTTTTGCAGCCATCACCACCACCATCCATCTTTTGAATCCTCTTCAATTTATTAAATGGAAATTCAACCCATTAAGTAATAACTCCCCATTCTCCTCTCTGCCCCCTGTAACCACCATTCTGTTTTCTGACTATAAGTTGACCACTCCAGATCCTCACAAAAAAATGGAGTCATAGGCTTAGTGTCTTGTGACTCTACTTTATTAGCATAATGCCCTCAAGGCTCATCCCCTTACCAGGGTATCAGAATTCCTTTCCGTTTAAAGACTAAATAATGTTCCCTATGTGTATATACTACATTTGCTTAGCTATTCACCTGTCACAGAACTTTAGCGCTTATGAGTAATGCTGCAGTGAACATGGGTATACAAATGTCTCTTTAAGACCTTTTTGCTACATCCTCACCAACAATTATTACTGGAACTTTTTTTCTTTTTTTGCTGTTTGGGGGGGCAAATGGTATCCACTAGGGGTAAGAGATGATATCTCTTTGTGTTTTTAATTTGCTGTCCCTACTTTTTCAACTGTTTTTTTGTTTGTTTGTTATACTTCCTTTTATTTTTACTTTTTAGTGTTATTTTTTAGATGAAAGAAGCACATATTTGATTCATTTTTCAGCCTAGTCTGAGAACTTTTAACTCAAAGACCTAAACAACCTATTTACATTTATTATTATAACTGTGTGTTTGATCTTGTTTTAGTACCTTGTGATTTTCTCTTCATTCTAATTTTGCTGTATAAATACTATCTTTTTCACAATTTGGAAGGTAAACAGTATTTTTTATTTCACTAATCATTGAAGTGTTTCAAAAACATCCTTAAGAAGGATGCACATAAATAAAGGAACAATTCAAATATCCTTATCATGGTTAACAATAGGAAAATAATCCTTGACTCTGTTGGGAAAGATTTGTCTGGCTTCTTCTCTGTGTTTTCTCTAATGGAATTGGATTGAGTACTGTCTCCTGGTTTTATTTTTTATCTTCTTGTTTCTCATCTTCAGAACTAATCTCTTTGAAAGAGTAAATAACTCCTGTAACCCTTTTTGTAGCTCATTTAACCCGTCTTGTATGCTTCCGTGGGAGGCAGGACAGGTCCCCAGTCACTCCTGAGGCAGCTCCGAGATGGGTCAGGGCCTTGAGTCTGCCCTGCTCATGTTTGGTTCTGTAGAGCAGCCTATCGCTGCCCCAGTTTTCTCTCTTTGAAGTTAATCTGTTTATTTTTCTAGATGTTTGTGAATTCCCTTCTTTATCTTTCAAATTTGGAAACTATTCTAGTATCTGTGATTTATTAGTCATCTTTCCATGTTTATCTTTATTCTTCTATTCTGGTAAACAACCTTGGGCTAGTCTTCTATTTCGAGATAGCAGATTTTTTTTTCTTTCCTCTCAAAAATCTAACATCTTTTATTAACAACAACTTTCATTAATAACAGTCCTGATGGAATAGATGGGACATACAAAGGCCATGTAGTGAGAAAGTGATAATATACGAACCAAATGACATTTTAAGTAAATGATATAAGCTTATATTATCCTAAATAAATACAAAAGCTAGAAAAATCATATAAGAAAACAATAATTGATACATTTCTAGAAAGCACTCAGCAAGTGGTTATTGCATACAAGAACTGGGGTACAGGCCAGAGATGCAGTGGCAGTGAGAGGATTCACCAGAGACAGAGTGGGGAGCAGGACAGGCAGATTGATGAAGCATATCACCGAGGGGAGCAGCAGGCAGGTCAGGAGAGGTCTCTGCACCATGTGGGTCACCTCCCTGGCTGGGGATCAAACTTGTGCTGCAGTGGCGGTGGCTGTGCCTAGCTAGCTTCATAGTACTGAGCTTTAACGGGGTTGTGCCACCAGGGAGAGCCTAGAGTCTTTTAGATGCTAGAAGCCTCTCTTTATTCTGAAAGGCAGTCCTGTGACTGTCAGTAGTCGCTCTCCATTTCCTTCCAGTCCCTCCCCCAGCCCTCTGCGGCCACTAATCTATAAATGGAACCAAATGATATGTGGTCTTTTGTGACTGGCTTCTGTCCCTTAGCATGTTTTCAAGTTTCATCCTGTGGTGGTTAATCTCACACCTGCTGGGTTTTATTTTTTTTTTAAGATTTATTTATTCATGCATACAGAACTGGGCTACAGGCCAGAGGTGAGGTGAGGGGGCAAGGAGTGAGAGGATTCACCAGACACAGAGTGGGGAGCAGAACAGGCAGATCAACCGACATACACTGCTGAGGAGCAGTGGGCAAGTCAGGAGCGGTCTGCTGCACCATGTGTGTCAGCTTCCTGGACAGGGGATCAAATTCTTGCTGCAGTGGCTGTGGACAACTTCACAGTGCTGCGCTTTAACCCTTTGTGCCTCCAGGGAGGGCCCCTCACACCACCTTTCTATTGCCAAATAGTATCCTACTGGATGGCTGTGGCACTTACCGCCAACCCCGCTGGCCAGTTGGTGTGCATTTGGATACTTTTCATTTTTTTGGCCTTGGGAGTGCTGCTGTGAACATTCGTGTATAGGTTTTCGTATGGATGTGTTTTCCTTTTTCTCGGGTATGTGCCTGAGAAAATGAACGAGGGTCACTTGACACTCTGTGTTTCACCTTGTGAGAAACTGCTCGACTGGTTTCCAAGGTGGCTGCACATTGTACATTCCCACCAGCAGTGTGTGAGAGTTCTGGTTTCTGCCCGTCCACAGCAGCACTTACACCGTCTTTCTGGTATTGTCTTTTTGATTCTTGTCACCCAACGCCAGCACAGAATTCAGCCAAGTTCTCTGCCACTTTGAAACAAAGGTCACGTCTCCTCTAGTGTCCAGGATCACGCCCCTCATTTTCTTCTAACACACATACTTCTAGCAACATTCCGCTCACGATATATGTAGACTCTCTCTCCGCTCTGCTTCCCTGGTGCCTTTCAGACTCGCTTTAGTGTCCGATTGTCAGCTCCCCTAGGCACCCCTTGGCTTCCTGCTGCCTGGCCCTCTCCCTGTCTCTGCTGTAGCTTGGCTTCTTTCTTGTGCTTATCTCTGTATCTTCACATGGCTTCTTGCAAGGACAGTTACTGGACTGGGACCTGCTCCAGTGACCTCATCTACTTGCTTGGAGCTTCTCTCCAAATAAGGGCACAATCATGGGTGCTGAGGGTTAGGACTTCTGCTGGGAGGCACATTTGACTTATAACATGTGTGTGTGTTTGCAGGAATATTCCCATTCACTGGTTACCTAATATGCTCACATATCATTTACTCACAGTGAGCCCTTTTTATCTTTATTTGTGTAAATTGCATTCTTTTGTATGGATGTACCACTTATCATTTGTCTCATGTCTGATTTTAATAATTCAGAGCCTTTTTTTTTTTTTTTTTGTGGTGTTGCCAATCTAACTAACTGTGGTTTCATTAATGTAAACCACCAAATTCTTGTGGTTCTTTTTCAAAGAGCCAACTTTTCATTTTGTTGCTTTTCTCTATTTTTGTTTTCTATTTCACTAATTTCCACCATAGTCTTTATTAGTTACTTATTTCTGCTTGCTGTGGGTTTACTTTGTTCCTCTTTTTCCAGCATCTCAAAGTAGAAATTAGATTATTAAATCTCCTTTTTTAATGTAAGCAATTACAACTATACATTTTCCTCTTTATTTCCTTTTTAGTAGGCAACTTTGTCCCCAAGCCTTTGTCTAGAAGAAAAATTTAGAACAAAGGCGGAGACCAGAAGCATTTTATTGAGGACTTTTATTGCCTCATCCTTTCTCTGGCTATGTCCTGACTGCTGGCTGGAGCCCTGGAAGTATAGCCACTGAGCCTTTCACACATCTTCCTGGGCTCCTCACAGGGCCCCAGGGAAGTGGCCCACAATGATGCTCATAATGTGGGCTTAGTCAGGGCAGTCGTGGCTAATGCCGCCGTGTGCCGTGGGCCTCTCCAGGCTCTTAAACAGCACTGGTTTGTTGTCTGGACCAGTGTTCTTCTCTGCTGGTGTTTTGTTTTTACTTTTTAGAATTTTCTTGTGGCATTTGTGCAAAGCAAATGCTGTGGTGTGGGAGCTCGCACGTGTGTGTTCTGCATGACGCAATCTCACTTCCTAGTTTGCACAATAACCCATACTGAGAAGTAGCATTTCTATAGCATGGAAAACAAAACACACATTAGGAAAGAACACTTAATACTTGCGTGTTTTTTTCTAATAGCATATACTGAATAGATGGATGGAAAATCCTGTCCTGATAACTACACAAACGAGGGCTGTCTCCCCTGTTGAGTGTTTCCAGAAAGCCTGTTTTTCCCTGACAGGTTGTAAGCTCTAGGCTAGGAGGGGTCCCCATGGCCCAGGGATGCCTGGTAAAGATGCTCCCCTCAGCCTGTCCTCCCCCCCGCACAGGGCTGACGCCCTGGCCTGGCATGCAAGATGTGGTGACTTCGGTGTCTCCCCTAGGGTGTCTGTGAGGAAATGACCTATGAAGAAATTCAGGACCATTATCCACTGGAGTTTGCCCTGAGGGACCAGGACAAGTACCGGTACCGGTACCCCAAAGGAGAGGTAAGTGGGGTTTGGGGCTTTGTCCCAACCACCAGCTGTATGCTTGGGAGGACCACTTGTCATGGAGCCTCTGGGGCTCCTTGGAGACGGCGTGGGCAGCAGGACAGGCCTGGCCTCCCAAGCCAGTCTGGTATGAGGGTCATCTCTACCACTTCCCAGCGGCGAGACCCTGGCCACAGTTTTCCTTGGGTAGTGGATGAACAGTGCTGTGGAAGCTTCCAGCCCCTGCGGTCGGTCGGCCCCGTGTTTGCCTCCCCCCTTCCCGGGAATGTCACGAGGCCACCCTGCCCTTCCTGCAGCTGCAGGCACTGAATCCAGACCCAGGAAGACCGTCCCCAGAGAGTCATGGTCACCACAAGCCACCTGCACTTGTCCTTTCCTTTAGACTAGTTCCCTTCTCAACCCCGGGACGAGGTCAGAAGCAGGGTCACCTTTGACAGCTGTGTGGCCCACTTCTAGGAGGTGGCCTGGGCCTTGGGGCACAGGCGGACACGTGTGTACACATACACAGATGCCTCCTAACTCCATGCCGGGCCCCTAGGCTGCGCTGTCCTCAGAACACTGCAGTGATTATTCCCTACATCATACCATGAAGTGGAGCCAGTTCTGGAGCCAACCTAGATAACCATAAAAAGAAACAAAGTTGGCTGTTCAAACTTGGGAATACAGGGAAAACTGATGGGGAAATTACAATTATTGAAAGAATGAATCCAGGATTTCCCCAGAACTGCCAGGGGCCAACCCACATCCATGTTTGGCTCCCAGTCACAGCCTGAGGCCAGTCAGCTCCCACTGCACTGGATATGTGAAAAAGAGAGAAGAACTAATTCTACCCTGCCCCACCCCCAGCCCTGGCCTGGCTTCCTGGTGAAACCTAGAAACTTGTCAGAGGCAGGGGCAGGTAGACTAAGGCTCTTTCCTGGGGACCTCTAGTGTGGCTGACAGATCGCACGTGGCGGTTTCCGAGGCCTTCTCCCTCTCCCCTGTGGCTCTCTGGGGGCCGGAAGGGAGCAGTGTCTTCTCCAGTCGTCAGTTGCCAGCATGTGAATTCCAGCAGCTGAGGGTTCAGCAAAGAGCCCCATGGATGGGCACAGAAGTAGCCCCTTGGCATGAAAGCCTAAGGCCTGCTTAGTTCCACCAGGACCTGACCTGGGGTGGGGGAGGTGACCACTCTCAGGCCACCAATCCCCACCGTAGCTTCCTTCTGAAGGAAGGAGTGTCTGTCTCAATCCTGTGGGCTGCCTGGCACGGGAGGTGTGAGCACAGCACTGGCCTGCCTAACCCCTTGCCCTCAGAAGCCAGATTGGCGGAGGCCTAGTTATCACCCCCCAAAATGGTAAGGAGTGAGCAGGTGGCCCCGTATGTCACCACCCTGAGGGACCCTCGGCACTTGCCTTGCAGTCCTATGAGGACCTGGTCCAGAGACTTGAGCCTGTCATCATGGAGCTGGAGAGACAGGAGAACGTGCTGGTCATCTGCCACCAGGCTGTGATGCGCTGCCTCCTGGCCTACTTCCTTGACAAGGCGGCAGGTAGGCGCCACCCCAGGGGGTGATGTGTGTCTGAGAGAGACTGTCACCCAGGCATCCCTGGATGTCAGCACTCCCCCTCTGTGTCCACAGAACAGCTGCCCTACCTCAAGTGTCCACTGCACACGGTCCTGAAGCTGACCCCTGTGGCTTATGGTGAGGAGCTTCCTGCACACAGACCCAGGCTGGCCGACTCTGGCTCTGCGGGCTTCATCCTTCCTGAGCAGCCCTCAGCAATTCCATTGGGCGCTCACTCCTCCTTCCTGCACCAGTTACCTTTCCCAGTTTGCCCTTTAATCGTTTTCAATTTTAATTGTGTCCGAAGGGTACCCCCCAGCAGTCCTTCCTTAACCATTACCCACCCACATGGGGGACGCTCCCCTAGCTTTTCCAAACCCTCACAGAGAATCCAGGGCCTCCAGTACTGGGTACAGGGTGGTTCAAGTTCCACCTCAGCTTCGTCCAGGCCAGCAGAGACCTCAGGCAGCAGAGCTGTGGCTCCTTGCCTTCCACCTAGGCTGTGAGGCGCCCCTCGGTGCTTACACCCTGAGACTCATTCCCATTTGCGCTTACCCCCTGGCCCCACACCACTGAGCCTGACCTTATGTTATGGCAGGGTTTGGGTGTGGGTGGCTTGGGGGTCCTGAAGACTGAGTGTGGTGGCTCTGTGCCCTGCGTAGGCCTCCTCAGGCTCCAGTCTGGTCCTTAGTATGATTCTGTCTGGTTCTGGACTCCTCACAGAGCCGGCACTGGGCAGCAGCACGAGCCTGACAGAGCACCTTGTCTTCCCTCATGGGGCTGCCCCAGAGCTGCGTAAGGTGGTAGCACGAGGGTAAGGCTGAGAGCCTGCTCTATTCCACAGAACCCCAAACCTCCTCCTGAAAGAAGCCTCCAGCTTCTGTGGCTCCAGCTGCTTTTCAGGAGGGAGAATGGAGTTGCATCTTCCCTTTGGCAGGTTGTAAAGTGGAGTCCATATTCCTGAACGTGATGGCTGTGAACACACACCGGGACAGGCCTCAGGTAGCAACGGGGCACTGCTGGGGTGGCAGGCATATTCCCAGGGGTATCCAGACACACCATCTTCCGGGGCCAGGCCCAGCTGGGGCACCTGCCAGGGTGAACAGGAGTTCTCTGTCCAGATGGCTCTCTTGTTGGGGTGAGGCCATGACCTGGGTATGGCCTAGACCAGGCCTTCCTGGAGGGGGAAATCCCTGAAGCTGCACATGACATGGGGGTGGCTTGCTGTTAACCTGCAGCTTTGACTATGGGGCCTTGTGTCCTTCCCAGCAGGTGTGGCTATGTCACATTATTGGTGGCAGCCCAGGTTATCAGTGACCTGCTTCTGTGGCTGATGGTTATGATATGGGTTAGAAAGATGGGCCACCAGGTTTGGGGGATCACACAGAACAGTCTCATAGAGCTAAGGGAAATCGTAGAGTCATTATTTCTTAGAAATGAGATACCCTGGACTCAGCAGGCTAAGAATGGGACTGGACTCTGCAGCTTGGCAGGTGCTGAGGACCTCAGGAGGTCCATGGGCCTGTGGCCCAGCCCTGAGGGGACAGACCAGGCTACACACTAGATGTTCACAGACCTCTGCAGCCCCTCTGGCACTTGTCTACTGACACTCAGAGCCAGGAGGAGAGCGCCCTTTTCTGCCCCCACTGGTGAGGATGTAAGCCCCCAGCCTGGGGTTTCTCCTCAACCGACCCAGACCTGAGGCAGAAGGTAGGGACAGCCACACTCTGGGCTGTCAGGCCACACCCTTGACCTGCCTGCAAGGAGCAAAGGGAGTGAGGTGAGGAGCCTCCTCCACCCCGTCTCAGTTCTGTGTTCATCTCCACACCGTGTGTCGAGTCTCCTGATCCCTTGCTCATAAGGAAGGTAGAGGCTGAAGTCCTGCACTGAGCCTCGGGGGCGAGAATATAGGCCCAGATGCCACAGCGAGGAGGCAGTGTGCACCTCTGCCAGTTCCTGCCACGGGGTACATGTTCTACGTGTTTATTTTTGTGCAGAATGTAGACATCTCAAGGCCTCCCGAGGAAGCCCTTGTCACAGTTCCTGCTCACCAGTGACCACAACTCATCCACTCCACCCCGAGGCAGGCGCTGATCATCCATGGACCAGGTCATTCCCGAACCCTCCTGAGGTGGCCACCATGAAGGAACACCCTCAGAACTCCGAGGCGTGGCTGGCGGCACCCAGGACCCTTGCCAGAGCCCACCCACTTCCCTAACAGTGACGAGGTTGTAGGAAGTACCTAACAACGTGCTGCTAGTTAATGATCAGCTGCATTGCGTGCGCCCTGGGCTGCTGAGAGGTTTCCCAGCTCGGCTTTCGGCTTTCGGGCACTCTGTCTCAGCAGTTGATGGGCTTTGTGAAGTGAGAAACCCTAAAATGTGAAATGGAAAGCTTGACTGAGTGGCCCAGGGTGGACCTGGGGGCCTCTGCTGTCCTCTCTGCGGCCACTTCCCGAGCCAGAGGCCATGCTTCACAGGACTCCGAGCTGCCATGCTGCTTCAGGTGAGAGGGAGAGCCCTTCCCACCCTGCCCTGCCAGGGACCAGGGACGAAAGCGCTTCTGCCAAAGCAGTGCCCCACGGGTAGCCCGGCACCCACACCTGGCGTTTGTGGGGAAAGCAGCTTGCTGGCTGCTCTCAGTGAAGCCCTGAAGCCTAGTGAGTGAAGTGACCGCGGGGCGGCGGTGTGAGTTCCCTTCCCGGCACTCTCCCGAGCGCTCATGGAAGGAGGCTGCTGCCTGGCCCTGACCCTGCTGCTGCGCCAGCCCGCTACCTCTCCTGTCGCTGCCTGTGTCCACACTCGGTGTGCACCGGCGGCAGGGACGTGTGTTCGCTGTGAATGATGTGGAAAAGCTGGTTGTGGAAAAGCCTGGCGCTTGTTTACCTCACCTGGGGGACTGGCAGGTGAAAGACAATCCAAGACAGCTCTCATGTGTGGGGGGCGGGTGTGGCTATTCCCAGTCACATGCAGCTTTGATTCACATGCACTGGAGCCTGCTGAAAACAGCCTCAGGGAGGCCACTCTCTGTCATGCCCCTGAGTTCTAGGCCAGAGAGGCAGGCTGGGCAGTGGGTTCCAGCTCCTTTTTCTCGCCGAGCAGACTGGCCAGCAGCTATGGGGCTGTGTGAGAAAGGGCCTGGATTTGTAGTCGGATACCCTGCTGTCCACACCTGCGCCTTGGTGAAACTGGCCTCAGGACCCCAAACCCACTTTGCACCCACGACCTCTCCCAGGCTGTGCCTGCCGAGCATCCCACTTTTCTCAGCCCCCAGGACTTTGAGCCTGCAGATAGATGCCACCTGCCCTTGGAAGAATTCCACATGCTGGACCCTGGCCAGCATTCTCTCAGCTGCTAGGCACCGCTGTCCAGAGCAGGGCTGGGGCAGGACCTGGGGACTCACCTCTTGTCAGAGCCCCGGGGCCTGAGGCTCTGTCAGAGGACATGCTCCCTCAGGCTCCCTCCTTAGCCATAACACTTCCTTCACCAGTCGGTGGCAACCCCTGCCCCAGGAACTGAGTCAGACCACTGAGGCCTTCTCTCTCTACATCTAGAGGTCAGTCAGGAGCTGCTGGACCACAGGCTACAAGCCCTGGGATGGGGAGAGGAAAACCTGGGGTGACGGCACTGGCGGGGGCAGCCCCTCCAGGCTCTGCCTGTGGTTGTCCCTGCAGTACCCCCTGGTTGGCTGCCAGGCCTGAGCTGTGGTGATGGATGTGCTGGCACTGCAGACTTCTTCCGGGATGGGTGGCATTGATCTCAGCCACGAGTCACACTGTATCCAGCATTCTTTGCAATAAATACTTTTTAAGATTACTACTATTGTATCTTAAGGTTGTATTGAGTGGCTGGTTTGCCATGTGCAGCTAACTCTGCAGACCCCCATGTTATAGGCTCTCACAGGTCTGATCTCAAATCTTTGGTTCAACTCCCACCCCTCTGTCTACCTCTCTGTGGAAAGGGAACTCTTTCTGAAGTGAGCCCTGGGCCTGGCACACTTTTCTCCAGGCCAACCTGGGCTGCTAACCCTTACCCCTGAGCAAGAGACAGGTGTTAGGGGATCTGGCATAAAGCACCATTAAAGGGGAGGGGGTTGGGGTCTTTGGAAAAGTGGATCCAACTATGGCATCCTTGAGGAGCAGAGCCAGTGGCTGCCTGTGGCCATGGGTGGGTACATCTGGTTCTCTGGTGTTCTTTGTCACCCACTGCTGGGGTGGGGGAGGTGGTGGCAAGTGGCAGGGTTTCCCTTTCCCGTACTTATACACCTGCCCCGGGCTGGCTGCTGGGCAGGCGGGTTGCAGGAACAGCCGCATGGGTGTGATGGAGCGAGGCGTGGCCGAGGGCCCCTGGGATGCTTCTGGCAGTCAGGGCTGCCAAGCGTGTGGCTCTGCCCTTCCAGCCTGGGTCACAGTGGCTGGCAACCCCTGTGCTTCATCCCGAGGCTCACAGGAGAGGCAGCTTGTGGGTTCAGCTGCGACCGCTGCTGGTGGGGGGACTGGGAGACGGCGCCATGGCTCTCCCCCACCTCCTGCATTGAGTTCCTGGGGCCTCCACGGAGGCTTCCCGGCACTTTTTGAAGATGTTGAAGATTTTTAGCAAAGCAAGAGTAGAAGTAAAATCTAACAACATCAGATTTTTTCTTCAGGTTAAATGTTCCACAGCCTGTGGAGAGCAATTACATTATAAACCTGCTAAAAACTTTTATGGTATTTTGGTTCCTAAGAAACAGGAATCACCTGATAAGAAGATACTGGGATAGAACTAAATAGTGTTGCAAAAACATAGGTTTCAGCAACATTTGGAAGATACAGTAATTGTGTGCTATATGTAACCAATATGGCTACTGAACATAATTGTTGCCCAGAGGGGTGTGCTGCTGTGTTTGGTTTAGACTGGTCTACGGAGCTGGGCTTATTATTATTTGAACAAAACTATTTTTTTTAAAGATTTATTTATTTATGCATACAGGAACTGAGTTGTAGGTCAGAGGTGCAGGTGCTGAGAGGCTTCACCAGCGACAGAGTGGGAAGCAGAACAGGCAGATCTACAAAGTACACTGCTGAGGGGAGCAGTAGACCCGGAGAGGTGTGCCGCGCCATGTGGGCCAGCTCCCTGGCTGGGGATGTAACTCAGGCTGCAGTGGCTGAGAACAGCTTGTTACTATTGTGTCTTTAACCACTGCACCAGGAGGAGACGCTGAACAAAACTATTAAGTTAAAAGTGAAAAATGACTCTGTGGTCGAGCAGAAATACTTACCTGGCACAGGTTTCTTGGCGAAGCGCTGAGGCAAGGGCTGCTTTCACAGTGCCCTCCTTTAAAGGGTACCACCCTTGGGGGCCTCAGGGTTTACAGGTGAAAGACCTCTCTGTGGTCAGATCTCTGGGCTTTTGCTGTGCACCCAAGGAACTTTCTGCTGCCCTCCCCACCTGTGTTGGTCCTTGGGGACTGGTGATCCTCACCGGTGTAACCATTCAGACCACCTGTGCATCCCACTGCTTGTCATTGTTGTCCTGCAGCTCAGTGCTGCCACTTGACCCTGTCACTCAGTCAGTGTCTGTATTCAACCAAGGACCATTTCAGCTCTCACGTTCCAAGGAATACCTAAGCCATGGAGAGCAGTAACTACGGTGCTTATTGCATGTGAAATTGGGCCCCATCCAAATTCATACATTGAAGACCTAGCCCCTCGCACCTCATAATGTGACCTTTTAGAGAATAGTGTTACCGCAGATGTAACAAGAAGAGGTCCTCCTGGAGTAAGTTGGGCCCCAAATCCAAATTACCTCACAACTTTGGTGTGAGCATCATCTGGCTGAGGCTGCTTTCAAACCTCCCACCCCCAGAGCTATGAGACCATACAATTTGTTGTTTAAGTCACTTGGTTTGTGGTACCTGTAAACAGCTCCAAGCAACCTGGAGCTTTTCAAAGACACTCCCCTCAGCAATGGACTTCCCAAGACCTTGTGAAGTGACTATCTTTTATGTACCCTCCCACCCCCCCAGGGAGTTAGAGAAAAGGTAAGTTGTCCATGGTAAATTCAACCCAACATTTATTTTGAATGCATGTGTGAATCTTCCTGAGACTTTTGGACCCTTCTAGATTCTTTTCTCTACCTTGTACCAGACTTTGGACTTGTTCTTCTACAGTAGGCCAGGAAAACATTTGGCATTTAGTGAGACTCAACTCTTGTTTTAGCCAACCAAATAGATAGGCAAAACAGTAAAAGTCAGCATGTTGAACCTGTGTTGAACCCCATTCCCAGGCAGAGAGACCCCAGCAGCAGCAACTGATGTTGATGATTAAGACAGAGGCAGAGAGCGGGTCCCATGTTATTTCTATCTTTTTTTAGGATGTATATTTTCTTTATTTATGCATACAAGAACTGGGGTGCAAGGCAGAGGTGTGGGGAGTGAGGGTATGTGTGTGTGAGGGGACTTACCAGAGACAGAGTGGGAAACAGAACAGGCAGGTCGACTGAAATACAGTGCTGAGGGGAGCAGCAGGTGAGACAGGAGAGGTCTACTATGCTGTGTGGGTCAGCTCCCTGTCAGGGGATTGAACTCAGGAGCCAGGGGCTGGTGAAAGCTTCCTAGTGCTGAGACTTGTGCCACCAGGGAGGCCCAGTTATTTCTATTTTTAAAGAGACAGGACACTAATTTTGTTCCACTTAAACCTTGCATTGAAGGGGGTGGGCAAAAAGTTGTCTGAGTCCCTCACTCACCCTCCAGCCCTGGGCCCTGGGAGGAAGATTGAACCTGAGGGAGGAGGAGTTACTTCTTTGAAAATCCCTATTTTCATACTTGGCAGGAGAGGTACCTTGGCAGGGGAGGTACCTTGCTCAGGAAGGTGGATTTCCCAAGGCGAAGGCAAGGCTTATCCATCTTATCTATCACACTACAGATGTTCTGACTCCTGCAATTTTCTCCAAGCTAGGAAACATGACTGTATAGTGTGGAGGACTGTGTTTGCACTAAGAAGGAAAAAAAGAAAACTCCATCTTCTGCCCCTCCTCCCTCATCCTACCCCTCAGCTCATGCTCCGCCCAAGTCCCCTCCAGCCTCCTCTTGTACTGTGAGAGGAGGAGTGTAAATGAGCCTATTAACACAGGTCCTTTGCTGCTGCCACTGGCCCAGCTGGGGACATCTCTCGGTGCTGGGAGCGCCCCTCCCCGGCTCTCCTCCTTTCTACTCTGATCCCAGTTCCCTATGGCCCCTACTCCGGGCTTCAGACACACTCCCTGACCCTCACAGTTAAGTCCCAGCTTCTCAGCATTCTGACCCCCAATGGGAGCAGGTGAGAGGTGTTGCCAGGGAGTTTGGGGTCAGGCTGAGTGGCTGGGGGAATGGATGACTGCCTGTGAGAACTTTAGGGAAGGAACTGCCCCACCCATGTACCCTCCTCCCATCCTCTGAGCTGTCCAGGCCTGCTTTGGCAAAGCCAGCCAGAAGGAAGAGGGAGCACAGGGCAGGGTGAGATTGGGGGTGGCCGACACTCCAGGATCTGGCTCCAGGACTGCTGTGGGCACTGGGGAAAAGATTGGTGCATGCTGGGGGGGGGGGGGGGAGTGAGTGTGCTGTTATAGTCTAGCATGGTGAGTGCTGGGGGCAGGGGTGAGGCCCAGAGAGGATTGGGGGCACTGAGGTGCTAGTGAAACTGGTCAGTGGGCTGAAGGGGATCCTTTCTCTCCTTTTCCAATTGTTATTGTTGACTGAAATAAAATCTCAATGATAGTTAAGGGGTTTATTAGATATTCAAAGTGAAGACTTGATCCCAGGGAACAGCTGTCACAGGGTAACCCTGATATGAAATGGGCTGCTCAGCTGTGGGTCCTCACCCATGTGCTTAAAAGGGGCTTATAAGATTCAATTGCAGGTGCACACTGAAAGGTTAATAAAGGGTTTACTTACAAAAGAAGGGGACATGCAGAAAGGAATAACTCAGGGAGAAAGAGAGGGAGATAAGTTGGTGAATGCTTCCACCAATTCCCCTGAGCTGGAACCCTGATGGCACACTGAGAGCTGGCAAAAACCAAGAGCCCCCAAGGCCCACGTGTCCTGTTACATACCAAGCCTGGCTGCTCAACTCCACCTTCAGTTCCCAGTGATTCTCCCTTTGGTGGTGATGACATTACTGGATTTGTAGTTCCTGGTGTCTTGGAACTCTTTGGTCTGGGGTGAGAATGGAGTCTATGAAACCTGTGTCTGTGGAGTTCATTCATAGCATCCTTTCTCCCCAACACAGTCGACAGGATTTTGCTCCAGGAGAATTATCCCAACAGTTACAAGCTCTGTTCAGTTTATAAACCTCATTATAGAGTGAGCAGCTCACATGCTTAGGAGAAGTGGAACAGTGAGTCATTGATTGTAAAAATAGAATTATCCTTGACAGGGGCTTCTGGATTTCAACTATAGGTTTTCATCTTGCAATTTCCTATGGTCTGTCAATGCTGTCTCTGCACAGAGAAGCCAAATGCTGTGGCGGAATCATGTTCTGGTATCCTTGGTCACTGATGGAGACTTGAAGTGTTGATTTACCTGCAGGCACTGGGTTCTGCTTGGCTGTTCCAACAAGCTCTGTCCAGTGGAAACCATCTGTCTTTATGCAGGTGGTTTTGCTCTCTGGCCTGCTAGACCAGGGTCCCAAATGTTCACAGCATGATAAACCTAACGTATGTCTATGGTGTAGGTGGGGGGGGAGGGGAGAATAATTTTCTCTCTATCCCTCTAGTTTTTAACTGAAATGCCCCCTATAATTAAAAAAACAAACAAGTACAGATCAACAGAAGGGAAACAAATAGAAGTCTAATAACATGTATACCTCTGTGAGCTTACTATAAAATGTGCTGGGAAAACAGCCCCTCCCTGCTCTGGCAGACAAAGAACAAGCATGAAACAGCTATGTACAATCTGATACCTATGGGTAAAGCCAGTCTTTTTGAAAGCCCAAAACAATGCTAGAAACACCCATTGTTGTAACTTGCAGAACACACAGTTATGTTTCTCCAGTTGCTAACCTATTCATTCTCCTAAAATGGCCTCCAACAAAACTCCCAGCACTAACCTCACTCCTATGAAGTTGCTGTTGACAGATGAATTGTCAATATGTGGAACACTATGATACCGTGATGACTGTGGGTGGCTGCATCCTCCACCTACGGACAAAACAGCACCAACACAGTGGCCAAATGGGGGAAACAACTTTCCCTGATAAAGGAACAACTGAGTCACACTGACCAATAGAAAACATCTTTTACCCTGCACTTGGCTAAAAACCCCTAGCCTGCTGCATAGAAAATTGAGACGGTTTCTGTAACAGGCATCTCCATAAAAGGGGGAGGCCCCATGTTCCTGTTAATAGGGCACCTCAATTCAGAGAGAGGCACCCCTGAAGCCCCAAAACCTGCCTGCTCTAAGTGGGTTTGTTATAGGGCACCTCAATTCAGAGAGAGGCACCCCTGAAGCCCCAAAACCTGCCTGCTCTAAGTGGGTTCTGCCATCCGCCGCAAC